TACTACAGTGCATGCATGTAAAACATCCAGTACGTAATGGATCTGATCCAGTACGTCAACGCGCTACAGGCTGCAGCAATAGTTCATTACACTGTAGTCCTGAGGTCAATTTCACTAGACAACTCAGACGCAAGTTACACGGCAATTACACGGAAGGATCCGCTCAAAATACTAGGCCTGCATTGCAATTATCAACAATTGTTTGTTTTATATAAATGCTGTTTTCTCCTCTTTTTTTACTTTACTTTTTTACTCTTTTTGACACTTTTTGCTCTGCTCCGCTATCAATCCTATATATATATATATATATATATATATATATATATATATATATATATATATATATATATATATATATATATATATATATATATATATATATATACAGGGTGCGATTTGTGAAAAAAAACAGAGGGAGGATGCTTTTGAAAACTGTTTTGTTTTTAATACGACGGAAACTGTATTTAACGTGATCACAGTTTAGTAAAAAAACATTGTACGTTAGGCCTATTAATTGTAATGATTTCATTTCCACGCTTATTCAAACAACAAATAAATTATATAGAGAAAGCGAGCAAAGAACACAACAGAGCTTTTTGAAACTCCGAATCAGTTAAACCAATGCAATCATCGAAATGATTCAGCTCTCCAATCGGATCGCGTATCACGTATCATTTGATTTAGATCGGGACGCCGGAGCGGGTTCGCGGGGTGTTTTTATCCCCACCGTTTATATATATATACTGTATATATATATTATGCTAAGTTTCATGACAGAAATCAGGGATTTATATCACTAGGTGGATATATCATGGCATTCTTTTGTTATTTTGTTGTAAATCTATATAAAAATGTATATGATATGTATGAGATATACAGCTACAGTGATATAAATTCCTGATTTCTGTCATGAAACTTACAGCAGTAGCTGTGTTTGTCTATTGTGTGTGTTGTGTAGGATCATGCACTGGGCTCGTCGCATTGAACAGGAGATTGACAGAGTCCTGCAGCACATCAGTGGCGCTCAACAACTGAAAGGGGTAAGACTGTGTGTGTGTGTGTGTGGCTTTTCCAGTATCTCTGTCAAACGTGTGCTCATTACCGTGGGTCTGGCTCGCATGTCAAACACCCACGAACAATGAAGAACTCAGACACTCCTGCAGAATATAATGATCCTGCCATTCCACCACCGAGAGGCTACAGCGTCTGAATGCATCATGAAGCTCTGTGTGTGCGTCTGCTCACATCACTGAGAGAGAACAGATGGTTCGCCCCTCATTCATTTACCCAGAATGCCACAGTGCTGTAGACAGAATGCTTCACTGCTGATGATGATCAATACAGGCATATAACCAGAACGTTTGTAGATGCATTATTTGTTAGGTCATCATTATTATTGAAGATAAACAGGTTTCTAATGATAACTAATGATCTTTTAATGAAGAACCTCTAGAGATGAGATTAAAACCGGCGGGATTTTAATCAGCAGGAATACACATCATGTGTCATCTGAACCATCCTGACCCTGGATAATGCTCTTGACCCTAACACTTGACCTCTGACCTCGACTTTCATCAGTCTTTGTAAGAGGAGTGTTTGATTGTCTCTCCATCTCTACAGACTCATATTTCTCTGAGTGTGCATTTGTTTAATGCATTTTGATGCATTTATGCATTTTTTGTTCACATTTTCACCATTAAATATCACTGATAATGCATTACATTTTTTGTTGTGATGTATTTAATTTATGAGGAATAACATCATAGTTGGAAAAACTGAAAGTAAAATGAAATACAGGATGGAAAATTGTGGTGTGCAAATTGCATTCAGCTCTAATTTTGTGCCGTTGTCACATTTGCATATTTCAAATTCGAGAACCAAAACAATGCAAACAGATAAACATTGCTAAATAAAAGCTGAGTCTCGTTTTATCCAGCAGGACTAGATTGGATTGTGTAATTGCTGCAATATTGTTTTTATTGTTTTTTTTTTCTTTGGGATAACAAGTTCATGGGCTTCATCTTGACTCATTGTCTTGGTTTAAACGCTGCGTCTGAAAGTTCAAGTTGTCAGTGTGTAAGTGTGCGTGTGCTTGATGTTCCTGTATTGATCTGAGCTCTAAACAGCTCTCGTTCTTGACTCGGAGGTTATTTACCGGGTTAATGAGGCTTCAGGCTTCAGTCACGCCGCTGGATTTTCAGCAGCTGTTGTCTCGCACCTCACACTGGAGTGCAAACACTCATTTACACAAGGTGGAATCACTGCAAAATGAGTTTATTTTTAGTGCGTCACGTCTGACAGGAAGTTACACGGGTTTCCCAGTGATGAGCATTAATAATGCAAAGCACAAACATGCAGCTCACTCACCGTTTCCCCCAGCTGATGGATCCTCTTTAGTATATTTAGTACATCAAGAGAATATATATGTGCCATTCAAAAGTTTGGAGTCAGTAAGATTTTTTTTTTTTAGCAAGGATGCCTTAAATTGATCAAAAGTGGCATTTACAATGTTACAATTTTTTTTTCCAAATCAAATTCCGAATGCTTTTCTTTTGAGCTTTCTATTGATCAAAAAATGCTGAAAATGATAATCAGAAATGTTTCTTGAGCAGCAAATCAGCATATTAGAATGATTTCTGAAGGATCACGTGACACTGAAGACTGGAGTAATGATGCTGCAAATTCAGCTTTGATCACAAAAATAGATTACAATTTTATAGATATTCAAATAGAAAACAGTTATTTTAAATTGTAATAATATTTCACAATATTACTGTTTTTACTGTATTTTTAATTAAATATATGCAGCCTTGGTAAGCAAAAGAGGCTTCTTTCAAAACCATTTAAAAAATCTTACCAACCCCAAACTTTTGAATGGTAGTAGTGTATATATATATATATATATCATCAAGAGGATGTTTTGATGATGTTTCAGATCTACAGTGAGAAGAGAAGGCAGTTCAGTCTGGTCAGAAATAACCCTCGAGAAATCGTAGAGAAAGTTGCGACTGACATCGAGAGACTGCTGGCCAAGAAACGCAAAGCGCTTGAGGTAAGAAAACACAAAATCACACACGCATTTCCTTAAGGATCATTTTTGACGGTTCTGGTCTGTATTTTCCTCCAGAAACTTGCGAGTGAAGCAGAGCGTCTTCAGAAAGAGCATCGGTGGCAGGATGGAATCAAGGTCAGATGACTTTAACCTCACCACTTCATGGTTTTTATGGTCACTTATGTGCATTACACAATATGTTTTGCACAGTTTGAAATTTCATTTATCACATTGCTTTTGCATGTGTGAGTCATCTGAGTTGATTCAGACCAATGACTCCTGTATTGTTTCAACTGATTCATTAAAATGAATCGCACCTCTCGAGCGTTTCATTCTTGAATCGAACGCTGCACTTTTTTTTTTCATCTGCGATACTTGATGCTCTTTTTCCTCTGACATTCACATCTATGTTTCTCTGCTTTACAGACAAACACACACGCTGTGAGTCATGATTTCTGTGAGTCTGTAGCTGGAGGGTCTGTTTAAACCCAATAGATTGCGATGTCTCGTTTTTCTGACTGATTTGACTCATTAGAGCTGTTCAGCTCGACTGACCACACATGATCATACAAGTGAATTGTGCTAAACTAAGAGTTTGTCATGTGGAGGACATCTGTATTTGAATCTTCAGGTTCTCGAACTGATCCTAAACAGCAGATTTTTGTATCTCTGTTCTGTGTGTGTTTATTTCAGGAGGAAAATATTGAATATTATAACTCTAAAGCAGAGATGGACTATGTGAGTACATCTCTATCTATCGCCCATGAGAAAACGACCGTAACAAATCTTACAATGCAAGACTTTCAGTGTAGATTTTCATGGTTTAAAAGTGGGCCTGCGAACTATTTTAAGAAAAGCATATGTAATGTAAAGGAAAATGATGCTTTTTTGGTATGTTTTTAGAAAATATTCATGCATTCATACACCATTTCTTTTTAGAAGCTGGATTCTCAAACTTCTAACTCCGAAAGTACTATTTTGCATGTTCATTTATCACCATATGACAATGATTGTGAAGATCAAACTCAAGCTGAAACAATGGACTCTGATTATATCATGATTCTCATCAGGACGGTGAGGACATTGATTCCCAGATGTCGTTGAAACTGGAGTTTGTGTATGATCCGAACTTCAAAAACCATGTGAATTACTCACACACTGCCGTCCAGATCCCCACAGACATCTACAAAGGCGGTGAGGAACCAGACTGATGCGATTAGATCTCTGTATGAGTCAATGAGAGTTCATGACGTATCTGTCTGTCGGTAGCTCCGGTGATTCTGAACGAGCTGAACTGGACGCAGGCGTTAGAGCGAGTCTTCATAGAGAACAGCAGAGACGACCCATCGTTGCTCTGGCAAGCATTTGGTAGCGCCACCGGCGTCACAAGATACTATCCAGGTAACTCTGTGCATGATGAGGCAGATCACAGTTTGTTTTGTGTGAATTGTGATACCAACCAATCGGATTGCAGCCTGAGACCACTAGAGGTCGACCGATAGTGAATTTTGCCGATACCGATAGCTAGGTTGGACCACACTGGCCGATACGATTTATCAACCGATAGTTTTTTAAAGGGGTCATATGACATTGCTAAAAATAACATTATTTTGTGTATTTGGTGTTTATGCGGTTTAAGGTTCAAAAAACACATTATTTTCCACATAATGTACATTATTGTTTCTCCTCTATGCCCCGCCTTTCTGAAACGCTTCGATTTTTACAAAGTTCATCATTCTAAAAAGTGAGGTATGCTGTGATTGGCCAGCTATCCAGTACGTTGTGATTGGCCGAATACCTCAAGCGTGTGATGGAAATGTTACGCCCCTTACCATACTGTGATGCCGTGCCCCGGCGCGATGAGACAAAACCAGTAAAAACCATTATAAACGAGGCATTTGTTGCATCCAGTGGGGACATAATTACTGATTATATTGACTTATACTGTCTTTTTACGCGTTGTGTTGCGTATCGCGCCGTGTAAACATAAAACCATGTCTGCATTTGTGATCAGAGAAACAACAAGCGCTACTCTACACTGCTCAAAACTCGCGTTTGAATCATCAGTGGCAAATTCTTTAAATATGAAAATGTACTTACAGGCTGTGAGTCAAAAGCACCAGACTGTCCTTGCAAAGTTGGAATTGCCCCACTTTATAGAAACAGACACCGGCATTGTAGGCTACTCTCCCAGGAAACAGTCCTCGTCCTCCATAAAATGCGCTGTACACATCTGAATATTTGGTTTGAACTGCTCCGGAACAGTGTTGTAAATACAACTTAACCACTGATTTCTAGTTGTTTCCTCTTTTGGAAGACCAAACAAAGTAGTTTCGCTTTTATAACAAAACACAGCGTCTCCACGACATGGCGGTGGTGGCAGCAACAATACTACACCGAGAATCAAAGTTACGCCTTCTTTCTTTGCGTGAACATTTGGGCGGCATTATGCAAATCTTCCCACATCGTGACGTAGACATGTGGGGTGTGTTAGAACGAGCCGTTTTAGGTAGGCGTGGTTGACTCTTAACTTTTATAAAGAATATCTCTTTGGATTTGAGACTTTAGTCTTTCTAACTTTACAGATCTTCTTTATGCACCAAGAGCTTGTAACACTCCAAAGAGAAAGGAAAAATTGAAATCGCATCATATGACCCCCTTTAAAATGGATTCTGAACGCAAACTAAAATAGTGCTTCGCACTTGTTCCAGCAATGGACTATCGGTGCCGATTAATCAGCAAAACTGATCAATCAGTCGACCTCTAGAGACCACATATGTGCCAAATAAGTAACATATTTTCTTTTGTAGCTGCTCCCTGGAGAGCGCCAGATAAGATCGACCTTTATGATGTACGACGCCGACCGTGGTAATGCATTTCCTTTCAAGTGTTTGATTATTGTTTCTTTCAGTGAACCGCATTTGTTGCATCCAGTGGGGACATAATTACTGATTATATTGACTTATACTGTCTTTTTACGCGTTGTGTTGCGTATCGCGCCGTGTAAACATAAAACCATGTCTGCATTTGTGATCAGAGAAACAACAAGCGCTACTCTACACTGCTCAAAACTCGCGTTTGAATCATCAGTGGCAAATTCTTTAAATATGAAAATGTACTTACAGGCTGTGAGTCAAAAGCACCAGACTGTCCTTGCAAAGTTGGAATTGCCCCACTTTATAGAAACAGACACCGGCATTGTAGGCTACTCTCCCAGGAAACAGTCCTCGTCCTCCATAAAATGCGCTGTACACATCTGAATATTTGGTTTGAACTGCTCCGGAACAGTGTTGTAAATACAACTTAACCACTGATTTCTAGTTGTTTCCTCTTTTGGAAGACCAAACAAAGTAGTTTCGCTTTCATAACAAAACACAGCGTCTTCACGGCATGGCGGTGGTGGCAGCAACAATACTACAGCGAGAATCAAAGTTACGCCTTCTTTCTTTGCGTGAACATTTGGGTGGCATTATGCAAATCTTCCCACATCGTGACGTAGACATGTGGGGTGTGTTAGAACGAGCCGTTTTAGGTAGGCGTGGTTGACTCTTAACTTTTATAAAGAATATCTCTTTGGATTTGAGACTTTAGTCTTTCTAACTTTACAGATCTTCTTTATGCACCAAGAGCTTGTAACACTCCAAAGAGAAAGGAAAAATTGAAATCGCATCATATGACCCCCTTTAAAATGGATTCTGAACGCAAACTAAAATAGTGCTTCGCACTTGTTCCAGCAATGGACTATCGGTGCCGATTAATCAGCAAAACTGATCAATCAGTCGACCTCTAGAGACCACATATGTGCCAAATAAGTAACATATTTTCTTTTGTAGCTGCTCCCTGGAGAGCGCCAGATAAGATCGACCTTTATGATGTACGACGCCGACCGTGGTAATGCATTTCCTTTCAAGTGTTTGATTATTGTTTCTTTCAGTGAACCAGTATCTGCGTTTGGAGACTTCTAATCATTGGTCAAACTGTCCAGTAAACCTACAGTAAATAAACTTTTTTGTGCATAGTCAGGCAGTTGATTTGAGCTTTGATTGGTCAGTTTAGGTTTGAGGGCGGGGCTTAACGGATCTTAATGCTTAAACTTGTATCGCTGTTTTCCTCATTCAAGGTACATTCAAGGAGCGTCATCGCCCAAAGATATGGTCATCCTCGTAGACGTGTGAGTATTTGTGTGTCCTCTTACAAGCTTTATGTTTGCATGGTTTTGTTTAACATTGACATCTTTCCCATTCATAGGAGCGGAAGCGTCAGTGGACTCACTCTCAAACTGATCAAAGCTTCGGTCATGGAAATGCTCGACACACTCTCAGACGACGATTACGTCAATGTGGCCAGGGTCAGTCAGCTACTTTTGATTGCAGGATTTTGAAAGTAGCTTTGATTTGATAGCCCAATTTGGATTTTCGTGGACAATATCTATCCGAATTGTCCAAAGAAATGCATATTTTGCAGGAAACATTTAAAAAGAAATGCTGGATTTACTCAATATTTTACTCAAATTTCAAAGTGCATCATCCATTGAAAAAATTACACACTTGGTAATCAGCTGATAAAATATTCTAAAAATATTTGCAGACATAATGGAATAAAAATGCTTTAATTAAGCTAAATAAGTTAGTTATGTGTTAAATAATCACCTTTTTTCTTTTCAGCTCTTTTAAGCTGTATATTTACATTTTCTCTCTCTCTTTCTTGTCGTAGTTCAATGAGAAGGCTGAGGCTGTGGTGCCCTGTTTTAAGCACCTGGTTCAAGCGAACGTGCGCAATAAGAAGATCTTTAAAGAGGCTGTGCAGCAGATGCAGGCCAAAGGAACCACCGATTACAAATCCGGCTTTCATTTCGCCTTTAATCAGCTGCTAAATGTGAGTCTGAACACAATATACGCAACAACTCGACAAAATCAGTTACAGTCGGGAACTTACAATGGAAGTGAATTGAGCCAATCTGTAAATGTTAAAATGCTGTATTAGTATTAACATTATTTTAGTGCAGAAAAATCACTTACTAACCTTTTCTGTGTAGTTATATCCATTTTTACAACTTCATTGCCATAACGGAACACCATAAACTCTAAAACAACTGTAAAAATAAGAATTTAATGCCTTTAAAATATGCATAAAACTTTTCGACTTCTTGAGTCAGTTTTGACATGGTGTAATTTAATCTTGTAAAACATCCATAACTTGTTAATTTCGTATTAAAATCATATAGTACCTGATTCATAACATACAAATATGCATAACATCACTTGTAAAGCCTCAGTTGATATCTGGGGCAAAATTATCCCGTAAATATGTAACTATTTTTTTCTTATGTCTCTTGAAAAATGTTTTCAAAAAATGTGGAAAATATATATATTTTGGTTATTCGTGACACATTTCCGAAATTTGGTTCCCATACTAAAACTATGCATTTTTTAGACATGTTATATACCGCTCCAAGGTCAAAAAGGACCTCAAGGCAAATCGTGAGTTAAAGGGTTAGTTCACCCAAAAATGAAAATTAGGCTGCGTTTTACTCACCCCCGATGCATCCTAGGTGTATATGACTTTCTTCATTCAGACGAATCCAGTCGGAGTTATATAAAAAATTGTCTTTGATCTTTCAAGCTCTATCGGTGCACTCAGCGGGTGTTACATTGCTTCAGTCCAAAAGACGTGAAATAAAAAGCACCCTTCCATAAAAAAAAAGTGCCTCACACGGCTCCGGGGGGTGAACAAAGGCCTCCTGTAGCGAATCGATGCGTTTTTGTAAGAAAAATATCCATATTCAAAACGTAATAATCACTTGAATCTAGCTTGCACTCACTGTTGTAAAACGGAAGCAGTTCCGGTGGAATTATGTATGAGGTCAGCTTTGAGCATGCGCCGGTCAGAAGTGACGCACGTGGAGAGATCGAAACAAAACAACGGCCACAAATAAGAAGTACAAAACGAGGATTTGTAAAGAAGAATGTCGGAGGATTTCGATATAAGCCAAGAGGAGACTGGTTTTCCTTTGCTAAAGTAAGGAAACTTTGCTTCTTTTGATCATTTAAACAAACGTTGGTTTTCACGAGACTCACCGGCGCATGCGCAACGCTGACCTCATACGTCATGCTCCCGGAACTGCTTTTGTGTACAACTGCTGATGCAAGCTAGATTCAAGTGATTATTACGTTTTGAATATGGATATTTTTCTTACAAAAACGCATCGATTCGCTACAGGAGGCCTTTGTTCACCCCCCGGAGCTGCGTGAGACACTTTTTTTTATGGAAAGGTGCTTTTTATTTCACTTCTTTTGGACTGAAGCACTGCAACACCCGCTGACTGCAACGACAGAGCTTGAAAGATCAAAGACAATTTTTAATATAACTCCGACTGGATTCGTCTGAAAGAAGAAAGTCATATACACCTAGGATGCATCGGGGGGGGAATAAAACGCAGCCTAATTTTCATTTTTGGGTGAACTAATCCTTTAAATAGCTTTTCAGCTTAAATAATACACAAGTTTAAACTTGCTCCCTTAAAATTATAAGCATCAAATTTCTGCATTTAAATCATTCAAAAATGGGTCCCATTCACTTGCATTTTAAGAATTGCACCATAATGTACATAATGTTATAAAATATAAACAAGGTCAAAACAAAAAACATAGTTCATTTGATTAAAGAAATGTGATGATTTATTTCTTTGTTTCGGACACAGTATTCCAATCTTCTCTCTTTCTGTTTCTCGTTCTCCTGCAGAAGACAAATGTTCCTCGAGCCAACTGTAATAAAATCATCATGTTATTTACTGACGGAGGGGAGGACCGAGCTCAGGACATCTTTGAGCAGTACAACTGGCCCAATAAGACGGTCTGATCATCACCGCCCATACCATTTCACATGACATGATATGATTTATATCTTCTTTCTCTGTTGAGCGTCTTTTATTTCTGGTGTGCCATTGTCCTCTGGAAGTGCTTGTTCCTCATAATTAGCCCTTTCCTCCAGCGAAACCGCTCGTTTCCTGTCTAATTTGCCGGGGTAATTGTGGGATATGTGATGGTCTCTGCAGGTTCGTGTGTTCACGTTCTCGGTGGGGCAGCACAATTATGATGTCACTCCGCTGCAGTGGATCGCATGTGCTAATAAGGGTGAGACACATGCTCAGACGCAAAAAAAAAAACCTTGCCGTACTGTGATGATACAAGTTGACTTATGTGGTGATGCATGTTGAATTATACAGAAATTACATGTGACATCTCTGTCTCGGCAGGATACTATTTTGAGATCCGCTCCATCTGTGCTATAAGGATTAACACCCAGGTGAGCTACACACACACACATTAATGTGTGCAAGTGTTCATATTATGGCTGGCAATTTAAAATGAAGCACCATTGTGAACATTCGTTTGATTTTCAATTTTAATGTAACTATTTTCTTGATCGTTTGGTGTCTCGCAAATCGCACATATGAGGCGCTTCAGTAGAATGATTCAAACTGATTCAAATTTCAGAAGCAAAAACAACATTTGAACTGGTATGTCTGATTTAGTCAGTTTGGCGTGTTCAGTGAATCGATTCGTAAATCAGCATATGTGCTTCACTCAAAAATGTTTGTGGACTCGCAAATTTGAGAGCAATAAAACACTTCAATAGTATGATTCAAAGCAATGCACACTATTGAAATTATTTTGTACATTTGATTCATTTCAGTGGAAAAGTGTTTATTTCAATTAAATGATTTGTAATTGATTTGTTTTGTAGAACATATGTGCAGTGGCTGAGCCAGAGGGGTGTCCAGGGCACTGGCACTTTCATAATAGGAAACAAAGTCTCAGCATTAAAATTCTGTTCGTTTTGGGTTAGCAGAGCTCATTAACATTTAAAGGAAAATGACAAAAACGGCTTGATCTGAAAAGAGCTGTTTTTGACAGGGTAAAAAGGTGTTTTTTACACTACGATTGAGAAATTAACCAAACTATGTTACATACTTTTCATTAAGACTTTAAAGAATCATATCAACTTGTGGAAAATGGGCATCCTATGACCCCTTTAAAAATGTCAAATATTAATTAGAATTTTGGAGCTCTTTAGTGGTGGGACGGTTCACATGCGCTCCCACTTTGCCTTAGTTCAAGCGAAGCAGGAGCGCTTTCTAATTAGCATGAAATAAACATGAATGATCATCCGAGGATATGTTGAAAGATACACTGCGACTTTCTGAATGTACTTTGTCTCATGTGATCACTCAATGAGTGTCTCAACCGCGGAAAGACAGCAGCTTGAAACATTGACAAAACATTGTCACATAACCTCAGAAAATCCATTCAGTCTCCATAAACTAGTATGAAAAATGACATTATATTTTTACTCATATAATTACTCTTTTTTTTTTTTGTAATTAATAAGAAAGTATAGATAAGTTATTATAAAAATGGTCTAATATAAACTTGTATACAAATCAATTGTTACTTTTAACCTTAACAATGGTTCCCTGTATAGTTTAGTTTAGAAAAATGTAGAAACAATTACGTGCTTAATTGCAAGCTTGTTAATTATTCCCACCAATAGGCTTAATTCTCACTCCAGGCTGAACTCAGAAGTTGGCAGCCCTGTTTGAAGTAAGCTGAAGTATTAGGTATCCTGAACAACATACAAAATTCACTGTATAAGTTAATGTTAGATCTTTTGCTCCAACCGCTGCTTAATCAGATAATAGAAATAAGAGAAGTAAGTTTCAATAGACTAAGATTTGAAGTTACGGTATAGGATTGTATAGCTAATGTGGGTTAATGTTGTTACGGGGCAAACGAGACGCGAGACGTGCGGATCCATGTGCAAGGCTTTATTTACAAAGGTGTGGTCAATAAACAGGCATTGGTCAGATAACACAGGTATATCACAGGCAAGACAAAGAATATTCCTAAGGCTAGCATGGGTCTTCGATCGGCGAACAGTATCCAGAGGGCTTGACAAGAGGGGTAATCCAATAACACGAGCAATAGTCCAGACGAGGTACAAACAGTCCGAAACAGCAAGACAAAGGGTTAATCCAAGAAACACAGGCAGAAGGTCAGGAAACAGACAAAAGGCTACACGAAGTGACTATAGACTAAGACTAGAACTAGGAATGGCTCCGTAATGCAGCTATCGCTAGAAGAGTGATATACGCTAAACAATACTCGGCAGTGAGAGAGAGGAATGCTGTGTTCAAGTCCTCCTGGGACGTTCGTACTTACGAGTTGACAAGTCATAATTACGACGTCAGGTGCATTCAAGTCAGTTTAGCCAGCACAAGATGGCGATGTACCTTCTATTAATAAATTACATTAAAATACAACAGGGTCTGTTAACTCTGCTTATAGAAAATGAAGAGCAAAGAATTCGCATCAGGTGTGTTTTGCGTTTTTTTATATTTTTTTTAGACCAGGATCCCAGTATAACTGATTTTCAGCATCAACAAATGCTAAAATACAGCCATTTTAAAAAGCTGTTAGCTAAATGCAACATGCATTATGGCAAATCAAAAGATTTTTCACCTATAGGTGCAAAAATGATAGCATTTTTTTTTATTTGGATTTCATTAACTAGCTGTGTAACAAGAACATGACCAATTTAAGTTTATAGGACAACTAAACTATCAATTTAAACAAAAATTTACTGTCAACTACAGATGTTGCATCCAACGATTCTGCCATGTTTCTCATTGACACGCCCCCAACTCGGAAACACTGGGCTTAAAGAAAATTTCGAGTTTCCCACTCGTAATAACGACTTTGTGGTGGCGTTCATGTGCGTTCAACTCGTAAATACGATCTATCCGACATAACTTCTTCTTCTTCTTCTTCTTCTTTGGTTTTATGGCGGGTAGCACCAATGTTAAGGTGAATTATCGCCACCTACTGTATTGGAGTGTGAACCAGAGTGTTTACCCTTTCATAAGAAGAGGACAAAAAATTTAAAAAATAATAATTACTAAATAAAATAAAAAAATGTTTACTTCTTTACCTCAATCCAACATAACTTGAACACGTCCATGGCTTATGTAGGGTGTGTGATTGGTTACAGCTGTGTGCAATCAGTGCAATGGATGATGGGAAATGTAGTCCGTGGTGACGCGTAACAGTCTGTGTAGTGAGAGAGTCAATATGATGGATGAGTGACCTCTGGTGGTGAGTGAATGGAAGTTTATAGACAGGATTCGTGACAAATGTGAAGTAAAATCGTAGGATTTATTCATGCTTTTTTTATGCCAGATTGGAGTTATAAACTGGTTTTCTGTCATAGTCTATGGACCCCCTGAATTAGCCTTGGCCTCCCCATGTATAAAACTCTAGCTCTGCCACTGCTTATGTCACTCAAAGATGTTTGTTGTCCCACAACTCACAAGTTTGAGAAAAAAATAGTGTGATTCAAACTGATTAAAATTTCATTGAGTTGGTACATTTGATTTTTTTTCGTTTCATTGAATCGATTCATAACTGATTTGTTTTATACAACATGTGCATCACTCACAAAATGTTCATTCCCACAACTCGCAAGATTGTGAGCATCAAATGCTTTAATAGTGTATTTCAAACTGATTCTGACACTATTTATTTTAGTGAATCATTTTATTTATGTAAATTGATTAGTAAGTGATTTGTTTTTTACAATGTATGCACTTCACTCGTCTCTCAGTTCACAAGTATGATTCAAAATTCAGTGAATTGATACGTTTACATATTCATTTCAGTGACTCTGTTCAAAGTGTTTGTCACAGTGAATCGATTTGTTACTGATTTGTTTCATAAAATTTGCGCATCAAAAATGTTATGATGGGAGTCTCTGGTTTTATTAAAATATATATTAGTAAATATTAATGTTTATTAGTACGTATCGTCATATTGGTGTATGTAATTAATTAAATTATAATTGTTTCTATTAAAATTAAACATCATCATCCCTTATGTTCATTTAGTAAAACAAAAGCATGCCTTGATTATTTGAATGAAATTTGACTGTTTTTTTTTTCTCGTGGTATACATTTTATGGTTCCTGTGAATAGAAAAAAAACATTCTTTTATTTCAGCGCAAATACATAAATACTGAGATATTCCATTTAGAAATTATCAAAAATTATCAGTCTATATATTATATTTTTGCCATATCACTTAGCCCTAATACACACTCGGATGGCGTATTAATGAAAGGTAAAATGCTTAAATGAATGTGTGTGGCAGGAATATCTGGACGTGTTGGGCCGCCCCATGGTTCTGGCAGGAAGAAGTGCCAAGCAGGTGCAATGGACCAACGTCTATCAGGACGCGCTGGTGAGAGTCGCTTCGACCCGCCTGCTGTGTGTGAAACATACGGCCCGCTCAGATTCCGTCATACTCTGATGCCTCATAAAACCCTGTGAGTCTGAAGAGTGTGTGTGATGTGGTTCATTAACAGGGTCTGGGGCTGGTGGTGACGGGGACAATGCCGGTGTTCAACCTCACTGTGGACGGAAACTCTCAGGTGACGCTCAGTCAATGACGGATCAGCACTGACAATGAACTCTCTTGTGTTCACATCACATCATTGACGGCAGTGTTTGTGTGTTCAGAATCAGCTGATTTTAGGGGTTATGGGGGTCGACGTTCATCTGGATGAGCTGAAGAGACTCACGCCACAATACAAGGTGAGGTCATTGACACTGAAAAACCTATGACTGATACCCTGAGCTACCTCGACAGTTTCGTTTTTCTAGGTTAACAAAACCTTGTTTAGATTAAGTGATTTTGTTATATTATAATTTGTTATTTTATGATAAACATATATCACCAATATGTTTTTTAAAATGTGGTTAATATGATTTTTTTAGGAATCTGTGTCTGATATATATTATTAAAACTTCTAGTTTGTAATGATAGACTGCTTGTCTAATCAATAAAAATGTGTTGGCTCCAAAATCTTTATAACAGTTGAAGCATATTTACTGTTTTGTCAGATATGTAGAGTGGATTCTAAGTTAATGTTGCATTAAAAAAATTAATTTTTTGGATGTTTAATTTGCGATCATTGATTTTACATTGTACATTGTCATTATATAAGTCACTGGCTACTGAAAAACTCCCTATTAATGTTAGTTTTTCATCCCTTCATAATAAGAAAAGTACGGAGCCCCGCACATGACATGCAAGAAAAAATAAATAAAATTGTACGCACGATTTACTAATTCGTTCCCTCTATGTACTAAAACGTGCGCACGATTACTATTTAATTCCCTGGATTTGCTAAATCGTGGGCACAATTTACTAATTCGTTCTCTCGATTTATAAATGGTGTGCACGATTTAGCAAATCGAGGGAACAAAATAGTAAATCGTGCACACAATTTTATAAATCGAGGGAACAAAATAGTAAATCGTGCACACAATTTTATAAATCGAGGGAACAAAAAAGTAAATTGTGTGCACAATTTGTAAATCGAGGGAACGAAATAGTAAATCGTGCGCACAATTTGTAAATCGAGGGAACGAAATAGTAAATCGTGCACACAATTTGTAAATCGAGGGAACTAAATTGTAAATCGTGCACACAATTTATAAATCGAGGGAATGAAATTGTAAATCGTGCGCACAATTTGTAAATCGAGGGAACGAAATAAATCGTGCACACAATTTTATAAATCGAGGGAACAAAATAGTAAATCGTGCACACAAATTTATAAATCGAGGGAACAAAAAAGTAAATCGTGTGCACAATTTGTAAATCGAGGGAACGAAATAGTAAATCGTGCGCACAATTTGTAAATCGAGGGAACGAAATAGTAAATCGTGCGCACAGTTTGTAAATCGAGGGAACGAAATAGTAAATCGTGCACACAATTTATAAATCGAGGGAACGAAATAGTAAATCGTGCCACAATTTATTAATCGAGGGAACGAAATAGTAAATCGTGCGCACAATTTATAAATCGGGGGAATGAAATAGTAAATCGTGCACACGATTTAACCTACTATTTTTTTCCTGCATGCCATGTGCTGGGCTCCGTAGAAAAGGAAAACATCATCACAGACTCTTTTTCTTTCTCTCTGTATGTAGCTGGGAGCAAACGGATACATCTTTGCCATCGACCCAAATGGATACGTGCTGATGCATCCGAACCTGCAGCCTCGAGTGAGACTCTGATTCTTCATCTGCTCCATCAGAAATCACAGCACAATCACACTAATTTGTGTTTTTATGATTTATTTGTCATGGAAATAATGCCACAACGGTCCATTTTTGTATTTCGTATTATTTTGGGGATGCAATATGACCCAGATGTGTTCAGGACGGGTTTTGTAAATTTCATGCTTATGATTGTGTGTTTGTCTCAATGTTATTTTAATAACATTTTATATATATGTTACTATATATACTATATATATATATAAATATATATAATAGTTTTTTTTTGTCATTTTTATTTTTATTTGAAAATGATTTTAATTGAAAATGATTGCGTGTTTGTCTCAATGTTATTTTAGTAACATATATATATATATATATATATTATATTTTTTATTTATTTATTTTTCAAATAAAAATAAATAAGATATAAATAATGTTTTATTTAATTTTAAAAAATGTAATTTAAAATAATTAAAGAAAACTAAATTAAAACTAGCTGAAATAAAATGATTTTTTTTTTAAGTATATTATTTTAGTTAACTTTAATATTAGGTAACTTTTTTTTTTTTAATGGTTTTGGAGAAAGAGGATTTGCCAGAGCCCGTGACGCTGGACTTCCTGGATGCAGAAGTAGAAGACAGCAGCAAACAGGAGGTACAGTCTTTACTAACCTAAAGCGCTGATTGTCCTCGTTGAACTTGCATCTTCCTCTGTTGTTCATAACAAATGAATCATTGTTTTCGGTGTGGGCGGCACCAGCACACTCACTTCATGTGTTAAATATGACATTTGGCTGAAGCAGTTGTCTGATCATTTCTGTTAAATCAGCAGGAGCTCATGGATTAGTTTTAACATCTGCTTTCGGTTCTTTTAGATTCGTCGGCAAATGATTGATGGCCGATCGGGAGAGATGACAATCAAAACTCTAATTAAATCAATGGATGAGGCAAGTGTGTGTGCCATTAATGTGTCAGATGAAACTAGGACATGTGTGATATCTGGGACATGACTTTCTATAAATGGCTCAAAATTACAGATTCAATCTTCAGATCTACATGTGTATGATGCCTCAAATGATGTCACTGATTGGCAGCATCCCAATTTGCATAACTGCTGTACAGACACGTTATTTTACTGTTAATTTTAAAGTACATAGAAAGTTAGTACTCCAGTTTTGACGTACAACTACGTCTTAATACCACAAATGAATTTATTCGCGTGTTTGCATTAAAATTGTGGCATCTAGATACATTTAATTGTTAAAACTCATTCGAAATACTTCACTCAAAAATAAAAAAATTGTTGAAAATGTACTCACCCACAGGACATCGGCGATGTAGATGAGTTCGTATCTTCATCAGAACAGATTTGGAGAAATGTAGCATTACATCACTTGCTCAGCAATGGATGCTCTGCAGTGAATGGGTGCCGTCAGAATGAGAGTCCAAACAACTGATAAAAACATCACAGTAATCCACAAGTAATCCACACCACTCCAGTCCATCAGTTAATGTCATGTGAAGTGAAAATCTGCATGTTTGTAAGAAACAAGTCCATCGTTAAGATGTTTTTTAATTTAATCCGTTGCTTCCAGTTAAAACATGAGTCCTCTATCCATAATATTGCTTTCTCAAGTGAGAAAGTCGTCTCATCTGAATCAGGAGAGAAATATGCACAGATCAAGCACCATTTACATGCGAAAACAGTAATAAAAGATATGTCAATGAATATGATATGAGGTCAAGAGGGCAACAGGAGATGGACTTTAGCGTTATTTTTTATTATGGACTTGTATTTTGGCCAGAATTGACCGTTTAAATTTAAAAAGCTTTAATGATGGATGTCTTGCTTACAAACACGCAGCTTTTCGCTTCACAAGATGGTAATTGATGTACTGGAGTCGTGTGGATTATTGTGATGTTTTTATCAGCTGTTCAGACTCTCATTCTGACGGCACCCATTCACTGCAGAGCATCCATTGGTGAGCAAGTGATGTAAAGCTACATTTCTGCAAATCTGTTCTCATGAAGAAACAAATTCTTTGGATGGTCTGAGGTTGAATACATTTTAGAAACTACATATTAGCACGAATAGTACAGGGATCTATGCATTTTCTGCTAAGTCCTAAGAAATGTTACAATTTTTGCATGAAAATGTCAGATAATGAAATGTTTTCCCGCAGCGCTACATTGACGAGGTCATGCGTATGTACAGCTGGACGGCCGTTAACGACACTGATTACAGGTACGAGTCGATTCGGCTGTTCAGATCGTAAGGTTTGACGTTAAACATGCTAAACTCGTGGTTTGTTTTCATGTGCCGCCCCCTGCAGTCTGGGTCTGGTACTTCCTCCGTACAGTGAATATTACATCCAGGCTGATCTCAGCGATGTCATGTTACAGCTGCAGTGTGAGTCTTTCATTTAATATGGATGAGGTTTTGTGTGATGTTTCATTCTAAATAATCTCTCCCGCATTTCTCTCAGATTTACAGTCTCTGCTGCCGAACTCGTTTGAGTCGGCTGGTCACGTGTTTCTAGCTCCCAGGTATGCACATCCATCCGTTATGATATTTCCTCTGGTTTGAGATATTGTGTGTTTTGTGTAGATGTATGGTCATCCACTCTCTTTCTCTCTCTGTGTATAGAGAATACTGCAAGCGTCTGCAGATGGCTGAGAATAACACACAGTTCCTGGCGGACTTCCTGTCTCTGATGGTGGAGATCTCACCTGAATCTGAAGACTGTAAGTAACGTTCACCTCTAGACCAGAGGACGACACCATATTACCAATATTACAGGCATAATAATTCAATATTAAGTACTCGTTATTAGGGCTGTCAAAAAAAAATAGAATTTTGAATATTCGTCAAATTTAAAATAATAATCGAATTAATGAATCATCATGAACTTATAATAAAATGTTAATAATTTAATAATTTTATATTCTCGCCATCTGAAATGTGAAGCTGCCTCACACAGATGAATTCAGCAAAACGTTTGTCTCCCATCATCAATCCATCAGTGAACTGTGAGAAGCTGATGACTGAATGTTTTGTAATGGTGCTCACAGGTGATCAGGGTCTCATTCATAACCTTCACTATGGATTAATTAATATTTCAACATAAACACTGATTACTAAATATTACAGCCCTGTAATTAATTATCACAGAGCTGATTTTTCAATCACAGGACCCACAATGAAATAACAGTATTATATTAGCAATATCTAATCCCAGCAGCCATAATTAAATGTTTGTTTGTTTTTTTTGCGATCATTACATTTCATATTATATATCAGGCACCCCATATTGTTCAACCACTATTGAAAAATGCATAAATTATGTAAAATTAAGTAGGAACATATTTTAAGAAAGTAAATAGTCTATTTTGATCTCATGTTGACTTTATACATTAATATGTGTGATATTCAGCCCTGTATGAAAGTGTTTCACTGTTTTAATGTCTCTGATGTTTGTGTCTAGCTATGGATGATCTGTTAATCTCAGAGAACGGCACTGTGGGGATTTTGGTCACCACGGCCGTGGAGGTTGTGATCGGGGGCAAAACCATGAAGCCTGCAGGTGTGTTTCTGCAAATAGGCTGCTTTTGTCATTCGCTCTCTGATAAACCAGCAATCAAGAGGTGAAAATCACTTTAGAAACTGGTCTGTCTCTGACTGTTTTCATCTGTGTTCCTGTTTATAGTGGTCGGCGTCAAACTGGATTTGGAGGCCTGGGTCGACAAGTTCAAGATCCTTGCCAGCAACGTATCAGACAGCAGACAGGCCGCACATAAGGTACGATTGTTCGGGAAAAAAGGAATTATGGAAGAAAAACATCATCTTCTAACATTGTGGTGAGAAGTGTGGTGAGATATCGTATCTTCCTGTTTGTGCTGTGCAGTGCGGCCCCTCCAGATCCTGTGAGATGGACTGTGAAGTGAACAGCGATGTGAGAGAAACTGCACACACAAACTCTGCATGATAACATCGTGTCAGTTGATCTGGTCTTGAATGTAGATGTTATGTTTCAGGATTTGTTGTGTTACCTGATCGATGACGGAGGTTTCCTGGTGATGTCCAATCAGAGAGACCACTGGAAGAAGGTGGATGCTCCGATTTTTTCCAACTTTTGTTAAGTGCACAAAAAATCTTGAGATTAATCGTGATTCATGTTAATCTGCTTTCCTGAGTTTGTGTGTCCTCATGTCCGCGTCTGTCTCAGGTGGGTTTGTTCTTTGGCGAGGTCGACCCCTACCTGATGTTCGCCCTCTACAACAACTCAATCTACGCCCGTCATCAGACCTTCCAGTATCAGTCAGCCTGCGAGCCAATGGCCAGCAGCCACACGGGAGCCGCGCACAGAGGATTCTACGTGGTGAGAAACTGATATAAATGATATATGATGTAGCATTATGAATCCATAAAGTGCAGAAGTATTTTGAGATTAAAAGTATGTTTTATTCTCTTCAGCCCTCCATTGCTGATTTTCTCAGTCTGGCCTGGTGGACATCAGCAGCTGCGTGGTAAATATATCCACACTATGTTGCTAAAATGTTCCCTGTTGGTTGTCAGAACAACATTCAGCAGAAATGTGTAACATCTAACGTCTATGGTTTGTAAATCAGTTCATGCCCTGATAACGTTGACTCAGATGCTCATGTAGTAATGTCACTGGTTTCTTTCAGGTCTGTTCTGCAGCAGTTCCTGTATGGACTCATCTACAGTAGCTGGTTCACCACAGGTTTGTCACATCTTCCTTAAAAACAACATCTTAACCCAGTCAAGCTGTTTTTTTCTGGTTTTATAGGCCACTCTTTAGCTGTTCATGCTGGAAAACCAGCTTTAACCAGCTGAGACCAGCTTAGGCTGGTTTAAGATGTTGTTTTTTATTAGCAGGACATTCCAAGACAGCATTCTAACCATAATGCAACAGTGCACAATCACACAAACAAATTAGCATGCTGCTAAACTATTGAGCCAATACTCCAAACTCAATAAATGCATTTTAATCAGACATTCTCTAGTGATACTTCATCAAATGTATTTATAAATGAGCTGTAAACATTCTGGGATTGCATTATGCACAATTGTGTCTTCTAGAAGATGTCTGGGCTGAGAGTTCGGACACTAAAGGGAGCAGCAGCTGTGTTACGGTTCACAGTCAGTTCTACTTCACCAACACCACCAACTCCTTCAACGTGCTGCAGGATTGTGGGAACTGCTCCAGGTGTGTGTGTGTGTGTGTGTGTGTGTGAAATTGATTTGTGCATAGTTATGCACTATTTTCCCAACACAAACTCTCTTTCTGTCAGGTTGTTCCACGCCAAAGACATTCTCTAGTGATACTTCATCAAATGTATTTATAAATGAGCTGTAAACATTCTGGGATTGCATTATGCACAATTGTGTCTTCTAGAAGATGTCTGGGCTGAGAGTTCGGACACTAAAGGGAGCAGCAGCTGTGTTACGGTTCACAGTCAGTTCTACTTCACCAACACCACCAACTCCTTCAACGTGCTGCAGGATTGTGGGAACTGCTCCAGGTGTGTGTGTGTGTGTGTGTGTGAAATTGATTTGTGCATAGTTATGCACTATTTTCCCAACACAAACCTGACTTTCTGTCAGGTTGTTCCACGCCAAGCGTATAGAAAACACGAACCTGTTGTTTGTGGTGGCTGAGACTCTGCCCTGCAGCTCCTGCGAGATCGAGAAACTCCTCCCTGTCAGAACAAAGTGTATCCTTCCTTCCCATAATCCTCTGCTCACAAAGCAACACTAACAGATACTGATCTGCTTTTATCCCTGAAATAGTTCTTTCAGCTGGCATCTGTGTTTGAATGATGGATAGATGACAGACGGCGCTTGTGGCGTTTCCTTAATTGTTATTCCCCAGCTCAAGAAGAGAATCCATGTGAGGTGTTAAACTCCGCCCGCTATCGGAAAGGCCCTGACAAATGCTTTGACTACAACACAGAGGTGAAGCGCTGTCTGTTGCTCTGATCAAACACAGTTTGTTTGCTTCTATAAATGATGTTTTGTAGACAACATTCATACAACCATCCAGAACAATTGAGCAATCACATAGCAACATCCTGGCAGCAACATAGCAACCTTCTGCCAACTGCCCACAACACCCTAGCAGCCACATGGTCAAACAGCCAAAACCCTCAAGCAATCACATAGTAATGTCGCGCACAAAGACATAGCAACGTCCTGGCAATTACTTTGAAAAGTCAAGTAATCGCATAGTAATGTCCTGGCAACTATCCAGAACACCCTAGCAACCGAATAGCAAATTCCTGGCAACCACCCAGAGCACCTATTAGCCACATAGCAACATCCTGGCAATCACCCAGAACACTTGGGGAATCGCATAAATATGTTCTGTCAACTACTCAGGATAACCTAACAGCTGCATAGCAGCTTCTTGGCAGCCACTCTGAGCACTCGAAAAACTGCGTAGCAACATCTTGCCAACCATCCAGAGCGCTCAAACAGTCGCATAGAAGTGTTCTGTCAACTACTCAGAAAACTCTATAAACCACATAGGAGCATCCTAACAACTACCAAGAACTCTCAAGCAATCACATAGCAACATCCTGGCACCACTCAGAGCACCCTAGCAACCGCATAGCAACATCCTGGCAACCACCCAAAAAAACACTTAAGCAGTTGCATAGGAATGTCCTGTCAACTACCCAGAACAATTTAGAACCCTTATAACAACATTTTGACAACCGCCCAGAACGCCCTAGCAACTGCCTGGCACCTACCAAGAAAACATTAGAAAACAACATATGTCCTGGCAAGCACATAGCAACATTCTGCCAATCACCCAGAACACCCTAGAAACCACATAGCAACCACCAGGAACACTTGAGAACTAAATAGCAACATTGTGACAACCACCTAGAACACCTTAGCAACTGCATAGTGACACCCTAAGCAACTACAAAGAACTCTCAAGCAACCACATCTGGGTAAAACACCTACAGACATCCTAGCAACTACCAGGAACACTCGAACATCCACATAGCAACATCCTGGCAACCACCCAGAACTCTCAAGCAATTGCATAGGAATGTCCTATCAGCTACCCAGAATAATTTAGAAACTGCATAGCAACGTCCTGGCAACCACCCAGAACACCATAGAAACCACATAGCATCATCCTAGCAATTGGAACAACTTAAAACAACATAGCAACACCCTAGAAACCTGTGACAAACAACTTGGCTATGTTTATGGTGAGTCTATAGTCAATTTTAACCTAACCGTTTTCTGTTTCTCTGTTTCCGGCAGGAGAACACGTCGGAGTGTGGCAGCGCTCACTCTTTACACTGTCCGATGCGAGTTCTGCTCTGGATTCAGTTATTGTCGCTTTACCTCATTCTACTATCGTAATCTGAGTCCCACTGCCTTCGGTGTTCCTGTCCCTCATCCGTACGCAACTCCGGTCCTGGTTTTCCGGCTCTCTATCTCATCGTGAGGTGCATTCCAGCTGTGTGCCATTACAGGGAAAACATGTCTTAGTAACCCCGACATTGTGCAGATCCCAGCGCTCACTCTTTACACTGTCCGATGCGAGTTCTGCTCTGGATTCAGTTATTGTCGCTTTACCTCATTCTACTATCGTAATCTGAGTCCCACTGCCTTCGGTGTTCCTGTCCCTCATCCGTACGCAACTCCGGTCCTGGTTTTCCGGCTCTCTATCTCATCGTGAGGTGCATTCCAGCTGTGTGCCATTACAGCAGAGCATGATGGGAAAACATGTCTTAGTAACCCCGACATTGTGCAGATCCAAAAAAACAAAACTGTCTTAAATCATTTCACCTTTATATTCGTAAAACGTCCAAAAAAAGTATTTTTGCTTGCCAAAAACAGGAAAGGACCTGGTTTGTTTCAAAACACTGGAACACGACACGAGTTTTGGCTGTTATTATCACAATCTCGCATTGTGTGTTTATTTGAGTCTTGCTTCGTTCTCGATTTAGTGCCAAACCCTGACGTATGTGAATGCTCAAACGCTGGGGACTCGCAGCTTTCATTGAAATATTGTTTTTTTGAAGCTTCCTTACCAAGAGAGAATGTTGTATTATTATCGCAAACTGCTTCGTTTAGGAAAAAAGAAAAATATTTAGATTTTGTTTCGTGTTCATTTAGAGCTTTTGTCGAAAGTTTTAAGGGCATATATTGTGTCTAAAAATTGCTGCCTGGTTTGTTACCCAACAGTGCCTTGGCGCACTTGTCCGAATGGACCAACAATAGCACTGGACGTGGATTCGACTGACCCTGAATGAATGCTGGAGAAATATACGGTATTGAATGTTTACAGTATAAGGGTGAATGTCATGAAACCTGGCAAAAGTTCATATTTCACCCCAAAATCAAAAGATATAAATAGGAAATGTCACATAAAGAAAGTGAAGCACATTTTTAGGACCATTAAGATTTCAAAAGCACATTTTCCCTCCAAATATCATTACCGTAATGCGAAAAAACACTTTTTCTTATTACTGTAATTTTACAATATGGTAGCATTTGTTACACTGCCTTAATTTATGATTATTCAAATAGTAAAAAAAACATTAAAATAATGTCACAATGCAAAAAAAATAAATATCCACAATGTTCCTACAAATACCCTTCATTTTCTTTTTAAGAGTTTTTGGGAATTTTTCTGTTGATTTTGGGGTGTTTCTCGTGAGACTCGCCCGTGCACGTATTTTTGGCGTTCAGTATGGGTTTATTACACTTATTCTACTGGTTCTGTCTTTAGAAAGTCACTCAAATGGTTTTATCTTTTTCTGATGTAAATATGATTATTCCACACTGACTTGATCTAGTTCAGTGTGTTTTAATGAAATGGAATGCAAGCTGATGTTTCGATGTGCCGCTGCATGCTGGGAAAAATGATAACTGCTATTAAACTTGATGATTTTAGAACATTTACTGGAAGGACAGTCGACCCTTCGAGCCATTGAACGGACTAACTTTATCTTCTTAATGAGTCCGTAGATATTATCCAAGGGTCGATATGTATTTATTTTGATTTAATTTAAAAGATATGGTGTGTATATTGCTTGCGAAATGTATCAAGTGTGAATTTTGAGACGCTTTCATGCTTTTATTGAAATGTTTTGGATTTTATCGCAGATGTTTTGTTGCTTTTCAGTGATTATATATAACATTTTAAAGAAAAATTTGTTTGTTGTATTTCATCTTTTAACGTGGCCACACTTCCAAAACAAACGTACTTCCAAATGAATGGGTCGAGATTCTTCTGAATTGAACTGAAAGGGTTTCGCTTGACGTATTTTGTATCGTAATGGCTTGAGCAATACTTTGAATTATGTCAACTACGCTGAAATGCAAGTGAGCGCTACTGAATTAGTGTAAAGAGAGCATGAAATCAGTATTGAGCCGCTTTCTTTGGATGACTTTGATTCAAGCTTGTCTTTGAATATTGGCTTAATGTTTGTATGTGCATTATGAGCATTCTAACAGTATTATTTCATGCCAATATAAGAGTATTTATACTATTGTCTTTGTGTAAAAAATTATCAGTGTTACAATGAATTTAATGATGTGAATAGGAATGTTTTCATTCTTTTTTTGTTTGTTTTTTATTTCGTTCTGCAGATGTTTGTTAATTATGTGAAAGGGGTTTTCCTCCCTTTCTGCGGTCTTCCATATCACTTCATTTTGTACAGATGGCTAACTTTGTATCATATTGTGTCATTCACTTCTGGGAGATGTTTATAAGAGAATTGGTGAGATAAAGACATTCATATTTTTCACGTCAACTGAGTATGGATTTTTATTTTTTACTCCAGAATTATGTATTTGATAATGAAAGAGAACAGCAGGTTTTTATTACAGCAGTAAAACAGCTGCAAGTAATCATATTTTATGATTAATTCCTGTGGTGATCTAGGCTTGAGGCTTTACTCGGCTGCTTCCTTGCTCTGTAAAGAAAAAGAAACATTTCAGTGATTAATATTTTTAATTTTCGTATTTTTATTTATTTGTGCATCAAAGTATTTGTTTTTCATCTATTTATATTTTAGATATTTGTAAATTAGATTTTTTTTATATATTTATAATTAGATTGTTATTTATTAAATATTTAGTTTATTTATATATTTTATTTGAATTTATATTTTCAGACATTTCTATTTTTAATCATTTATTCATCAAAGTATTTGTTTGAGATTAGAGACAGCAGGTGGCGCTCACGGCTCTTGGCTCCTGGGACTCCTGAGCTTCCTCCAGCTCATGCTGCACCTTCCTGTACCTGCTCCTCCTGCCACTCTCTTCAAGTTCTCTGGAGAGATCAGCTCTCTGCTTCTCTACTTTAGCACCAGCAGCTCGCTCGGCCTCCTCTTCCAGCTCCTCAGTACGGGCCTATGAGAATGATGCAAATAATTACGTTTGTTTACTTGGAAACAGAAATTCTGCTACATCATTTTAATTAGAAACCTGAAGTTCTTTGATCTTCTTCTGAAGCTGTGATCCCAAAAGACTGCTCATCGTCAATCTTGCCGAGTAGCTGACTCATCTCAAAGTCCTTCCTGTTTTTAAACAGCACACGTGTCTTGTCAAATGTGTACCTGGCACAATATCGCTCACTTTTTGATCTTCTCCTCTGATTGCTGTTTGTCATTCTCCAGGTCCATTATGGACTCCGGGGCCAGTTTCAGATCACCCTCAGGCTTCTGCTTGGCTCTCTCATGGTCCATACCATCATCCACTTGCTGCTCAAGTTTTGTCTTGGATTTAGACAAAGTGTTGACTTTGTCTTCCTCTGCTTGTAGGTCATCAAGAGTCTGCTGGTGTGCCTCTTGGAGGGCTCAGCACCAGCAGCTCGCTCGGCCTCCTCTTCCAGCTCCTCAGTACGGGCCTATGAGAATGATGCAAATAATTACGTTTGTTTACTTGGAAACAGAAATTCTGCTACATCATTTTAATTAGAAACCTGAAGTTCTTTGATCTTCTTCTGAAGCTGTGATCCCAAAAGACTGCTCATCGTCAATCTTGCCGAGTAGCTGACTCATCTCAAAGTCCTTCCTGTTTTTAAACAGCACACGTGTCTTGTCAAATGTGTACCTGGCACAATATCGCTCACTTTTTGATCTTCTCCTCTGATTGCTGTTTGTCATTCTCCAGGTCCATTATGGACTCCGGGGCCAGTTTCAGATCACCCTCAGGCTTCCGCTTGGCTCTCTCATGGTCCATACCATCATCCACTTGCTGCTCAAGTTTTGTCTTGGATTTAGACAAAGTGTTGACTTTGTCTTCCTCTGCTTGTAGGTCATCAAGAGTCTGCTGGTGTGCCTCTTGGAGGGCTTTTTTTCTCTTTTGTCAGTTTGGCAATTGCTTCATCTTGAGAGGCCATCTCCTCAGTTACTGTTGGCTATGTTAGCATGTGCATTGGCGCTTTGGTCACAAACTCATTCCCAACCTTCACTCTGGGGTAGCACAGAGCTTACAGCATGTCCGCAGAGATGAGGCCCATGAGGTAAGCGATTTTATCAGCCACTGAGGAGAAAATTACCAGATTGTTTGGCATGGAACTTGTGTAAGAAGAGCCAAAGTAACTTACAGTACACTTAATCTCAGTGACAGTGCCCTGGAGTAAGCTAAAAAACAATAGTGATGGTTCAAACCTTATGGCCTTTTGGTTACAGTGCTGATCGTCAACCAGTAAGCCACTGTTGAGTTTACACTGAGGATCTCACTAATAGTCTTACCCTCGGTGCCATCAGGTTCAGCTTGTTCCTCTCTCTGCTTCTGCTTGAACTTCAATGTTTCCATGCTGCATCACAGCACCTGTCAGCTTGTAGATGCTTATTTTTTTCTCCAGCGCTGAAGCCCAGAATATCAATAGCAGTCTTTTTTTTATACCAAAAACAAACACACATTAGAGATGCATCTGTATTATCTCCTGCAGTGATCTTTTTTCTGATAAAAGGGTTTCTGCTCATAATCAATGAATTAAAGACTAGTTATGCAGTTGTCCACGTACATGTGTGGCAATGAACTCCTCTACGCCATTGATACTCGTGGCTGATCATGGGATAGTCGTAAGGATTGGTGGTGATAAGCAGGGCCTCTGTAAAACATCAAATTCAATGTTAATCGCTCTCTAAGAAATGATAGTACTGCGTTATGTGTTTTAAGAAGAGTTTTGCTTGTAGTCTATATCCGTACGCTTTGAGGCCACCAACTAGCAATACCATGTAGCAAACTGTGTTTTTGGTTGGATTTAAGCTTGTGCATTATTTCTTTACTTGACCATCAATTGGTTGAGAAGTGCCTAGAGTTTATTCATTTTTAAAGTGTCTTGTTGCTTTTAAATCTGTTTTTATCCAGACTGTCACTTAAAATTATACCAAAAGCTAATGGGCATTGGCAATAAGACTGCTCATCAGAATTTCATTGGGTTTTTACACCAAAAAAAACCTAAAAACCTGTAGATTTCTCACTGAGCAGCTAAAACTAAAAAACATATTTGTCTCAAAACAGCATGACTCACAAGTTTCAATATCAGCTGAAGCTGAATGTACCCTAAGGAGACAGAAATGATTCCGAACTTTTCGCAGATGTCTAACAAAATGCAAACGAGAAGAGTTGTCGTTCCTCACAGTCTTGGCATTACCATAAGCCTCCAGCAGAGGGTTGGCAGCAATGATTTGATCCTCTAGCGCGACTCCTGGTGGGCATTCAAGTACGTTCATGCGTGTAGAATAGTTCTTTACACTTGTACTGTTTCTTTACGTGTAGCCACCTGCATTTTGCCTGGGACGGGTTCTGCCTTCTTCTGTCCACACACTGCAATATAATAATTCATATATCAAATATTTTGGTCTTGTAGGAATACCATGCCCAACAAGACCAGGGACATATTTTACAAAAGCCAACAAGGTCCGTTTTGATTTCATGTTGATTTTAAAGCTGCACATTCAGACAGATGTAAATATTGAACAGCTGAACTGGTAGGAGTTGTCAGAGATGGAGAAGATGTGGGCGGGGCTTCAGTCCTCTTTTTGCCTCTGTATCCGGTCACAACAATTGCATCGTACACCGGTTGTGACTAGAAGGGACACAGCTCAGACGCGGAAACGAACAATGAAATTAATTTTCTACCTATTAGATTGTGTTTTATTAACGTCTACACCTACCCCAATCCTAAACCTACAATAATGAAAAAAATAGTCATTATTGTTGTACAGTGTAACAAAAATTATGCTGTATTGATGTGCGCATGCCCAGTAGCACCCTATGTATCACTTCTAGCCTTAACCTCGTACACCGGTGTTGTGCCGAATTCTGCACCCCTGCCAGATTATGCACCCCCTCATTGAAGTCGCTACCTGATTGCCTAACCCCTAATCCTAACCCCTCCCCCACACCTACTCATAAACCTACCAATATTAGGGGGTGCATAATCTGGCAGGGTGCAGATTTCGGCACTACACCGGCAGCCACTTGTAGGGATTAACAGTGACACAGAATTCAAGCCGGAGTAGGTCTGAAATGGAGATAGATGCAACGTCTAAATTTGTTGCCACCCTTTATTCCCATCACTCTTTATTTCCAAGAATACAATATAATGTGCTTAGACTTACATAGATCATCTTTGTTGCATAACGCTCTTTGAGGTTATACAGCACAGCGGGCTGTCTTAAATTTTGTCAAAAATGTGTGGGTTCACTGGAAAGATTTCATCTTCTTGACAATATTTTATAACTCAACAGTTTATTTGGAATATGATGATTACATGGATGCAGCAATATTCCAATAGCAGTCTACTTTTCTTTCCCACACAGGGTTTTGACCGTATCCTTGCCACCTTCTTTACTAACAAGATACCTTTCAGGTACATGTTCTCAGGTTCTGACACAAAGTGGGCCGTTTTGGCGACAAACGGGGGGTTTTGAGACTCGGTCCTCTCCTTTTCTGGCTTCTGAAGGTAAATGGCTGCTGGGCCAAAAAACTCCATTTCACCATCTCCCATGATGGAGTATTTCTGTTACAGGAACAAGAAACATGATTTTATGAACACATTTTACCATATTTAAGATTGTTTAAGTTCTTGTTTACCTTATTTCAGTGCCCTAGAGCAGAGAAACTACAAGTGATATACGATCTGTTAGAATAAAGTAGTGGACAAAATGTTTAATTTTAAAATGTGTGATTTAATCTATTTTTTGTGCATGATTGAACATTCTCTGTGTGTATGTGCTGTACATGTGGAAGAATTGACAATAAAACAGACTTGACTTGACTTGACTTGAACCCTTAAGTAACCCTTAAATTAACACTCATCTCTTATGCAAACTTTAAAAAAAAATAGTTTTAAACGTTGAATTATTCATTAAAATGTAATTTATTGTAGCATCACTAAAATACAACAACAAATACATTGTGTCTTGTATGTTTAGTGTGTACATTAGATTGGTTACGCATTATTTTGTGTCAAATTTTTATTTATTTTATATTTTTTACTTTGAAAGAACATCCTGTACCCTGAAATATTATGAAAAGTAGCCGTGTGAATAAAGAGAGAAAAAACAACAACAATTATATTAAATCAAGGTAATTAAATCATTTTTTAAATATCTGTAACTCCGTTTTAAAGGGGTCCTATTATGCTTTTTCACTTTTTAAATTATAGTCAGTGTGTAGTGTGTATGTTTGGGCATAAAAAAGATCTAGAAAGTTACAAATCTCAAAGTCCACCAAGGGTCTGAGAGTAACACAATATCAATTCTCTGTGTGTATGTGCTGTACAC